AATTTGTTCGCCCTTCGGGCGAACATCGTACCCCCGATCGCTTAGAAAAGTCATAGCACACCATTCCCGAATATTCCGCACGTTTTGAGACCTCATTCATGGGTGTGTGACAAAAACTGCGGGAGGAGTAGCGTGCCAAACTTTTGGGCCGACTCAAAAAACACAATAGTAATAGTGTTGCCTTGCTTTCAGCAAGCACCACTAATAAATAACATGGGGGTCAATGGGGAATATTTGGGCAGCTCCTGCCCCCCAGGGGTGCAACTTTTACCCCATTGTGAGGTATGTTCTTACAGAGCCTGTCAGCCTCTTCAAATGTGGTGAATCGCAGGCTTCTGTGAAATTCTCGCTCGGAGCTATGAGTCGTCAAAGTTTGTCGCAATGTTAAGTCTATGGGATTTTGGGAAATTTGTTCGCCCTTCGGGCGAACATCGTACCCCCGATCGCTTAGAAAAGTCATAGCACACCATTCCCGAATATTCCGCACGTTTTGAGACCTCATTCATGGGTGTGTGACAAAAACTGCGGGAGGAGTAGCGTGCAAACTTTTGGGCCGACTCAAAAAACACAATAGTAATAGTGTTGCCTTGCTTTCAGCAAGCACCACTAATAAATAACATGGGGTCAATGGGGAATATTTGGGCAGCTCCTGCCCCCCAGGGGTGCAACTTTTACCCCATTGTGAGGTATTTTCTTACAGAGCCTGTCAGCCTCTTCAAATGTGGTAAATCGCAGGCTTCTGTGAAATTCTCGCTCGGAGCTATGAGTCGTCAAAGTTTGTCGCAATGTTAAGTCTATGGGATTTTTGGGAAATTTGTTCGCCCTTCGGGCGAACATCGTACCCCCGATCGCTTAGAAAAGTCATAGCACACCATTCCCGAATATTCCGCACGTTTTGAGACCTCATTCATGGGTGTGTGACAAAAACTGCGGGAGGAGTAGCGTGCCAAACTTTTGGGCCGACTCAAAAAGCACAATAGTAATAGTGTTGCCTTGCTTTCAGCAAGCACCACTAATAAATAACATGGGGGTCAATGGGGGAATATTTGGGCAGCTCCTGCCCCCCAGGGGTGCAACTTTTACCCCATTGTGAGGTATGTTCTTACAGAGCCTGTCAGCCTCTTCAAATGTGGTGAATCGCAGGCTTCTGTGAAATTCTCGCTCGGAGCTATGAGTCGTCAAAGTTTGTCGCAATGTTAAGTCTATGGGATTTTGGGAAATTTGTTCGCCCTTCGGGCGAACATCGTACCCCCGATCGCTTAGAAAAGTCATAGCACACCATTCCCGAATATTCCGCACGTTTTGAGACCTCATTCATGGGTGTGTGACAAAAACTGCGGGAGGAGTAGCGTGCCAAACTTTTGGGCCGACTCAAAAAACACAATAGTAATAGTGTTGCCTTGCTTTCAGCAAGCACCACTAATAATAATAATAATAATAAGTTTAAATAGAATTTCAGTAAGTTGGCTCTCACAAGCCAACTTAATAATAATAAGTTTAAATAGAATTTCAGTAAGTTGGCTCTCACAAGCCAACTTAATGATGACTGTCATGGTGTGGTGCAGGCTGAGGGACCGGAGGAGTCCAGAGTAATGATAAAAATCACTTTTAATATAACAGGCAGGAAGACAGGATCACGGGCGCCACACAGGCTAACAACAAACAACGACCGACAAAAAACTGAATCAAACAGAGGGAGCTAAATACAAGGAGGAATCAAACATAAAGATGTGAAGACAGGTGATACTGATGAACAAGACGAGGAACAGGTGGCTGATGAGGGAGTGAGTTCAGGAGTGGAGACAAGAGGATCCTGGAAAGTGTAGTGCTGATGACAAGACAGACTGGTGCAGACGAGGACTGTGACAATGACAGAGACAAGTTCAAACAACTAAAATGAATATTCGTGGGTTGATTAAGAAGATGGGAGGAGTCGGAGTTAAGAACAGGGAAAGGATTCATAGCTGTAAGAGGTCAGAAAGTGTTGGACGGTAGAGGTCAGTTTCAGATGTGTAATTATGAAGGGGAGATGCGAGTTCCATTGCAATGAAGTCTGTTATAAGATTTTTCCAAATGTTAATGTGTAATTTATTTCTGGTTCCCTTTCGTAGTCACTCCGAGTTACGTCAGGAGTGACGGAGAATGGGGGTTTCGCATAGAAAGCCAATCCTCTTCGAGTATTTAATAACGAGCCAATGGCATGAAAATGCCTTGGGGCTGCAGAATTTGCATAGCGTAACTCCGGCCCACCCCGTGGGTATAAAAGGAGGAAGTGAACGCAACCGCAGTATGTTTTCGCTTCGGAGCCAAGAGACTTCTTCACTCCCAAAGCCAGTTTCACTGAGTACAACTCTTCAAGACGAGCGTCCTCTTCAGTGTTGGTGTGACGGTGGTACCCAGCGAGATTCTGCATTGCCTGCGATCTGAGCAGTGGTCTGCCAGACTGTGCGTTTCTCCCTGGACGCCTCAGCGCTGAAAGAGTGAATTTCCTCCTTTCTATTAAAAGAGCTGCACACGGCACGTCTTTTTAAAGATGGTTCGCCCGTGTTCTTCTGGGTGCGGTCGATTCATGTCGTCTTCTGATGGTCACAATCGCTGCTCTGTGTGTCTGGGCATTCTGCATGCAGTAGCAGCGTTCGTGGATGACTCATGTTCCTTCTGAATAAGGGGAACATGATCATCTCTACACTGTGATCTAGACTCAATGATCTGATAAAAGTCAGAGTCCCCGTGTCCACTACTCGTTCTGCTTCTTCTTAAAAAAGAAGCTCTTCAAATCTCGGATAGGGTGATTTGACGGTGACTGTGTGGAACAGACCCCCGACGCTAGCTCCTCGGGCCACACCAGCAGAACAGACCCCCGTGGAACGCTGGTCCTTCCCTGGTCCCTTCTGTCGGGGAACGGGGCTCAACTGTGCATCCGCACGGAGTAATTCCCGTGCGCATGCTGGTCTCCCCGCCTCGCTGCCCCTCCGGGGGGATGTCTGTGGTTCGCATGACCCCGCTGGATCAGCTCCTAGGAGCTTGGTTAGAGCTCCCCGGCCTATCCCGCCAGGTCATCAGAGCGATCAGGCGCGGCTACGCGATTCAGTTCGCACAGTCTCCTCCCCGTTTCAGGGGAGTTCGCTCACTACGGTCGGCGGCAATGCCCTGGTCATGAGAGCGGAAATTGCAACCCTGCTGGTGAAGGGTGCAATCGAGACGGTCCCTCCAGCCGAGATGAGGTCAGGGTTTTACAGCCCCTACTTCATTGTCCCCAAGAAGACCGGTGGGTTACGACCGATCCTGAATCTGCGCGTCTTGAGCTGTACTCTCTTCGAGTGCCGTTCAAGACGCTCACAGCCAAACGCATTTTCGAATGCGTCCGGCCTCAGGATTGGTTTGTAGCGATAGACCTGAAGGACACATACTTTCATGTCTCCATGTCGCCTCGACGTGGACCGTTTCTTCGGTTTGCTTTCGAAGGCCAGGCATATCAGTATACGGTTCTCCCATTCGGGTTAGCTCTGTCACCACGCGTCTTTATGAAGATCGCGGGGTTCGCATCTCGACGATTGGCTGATCCTAGCACACTCTCGAGAACAGGTTTGCGAACACAGAGACCTGGTGCTCCGGCACCTAGCCCGTCTGGGCCTTCGGGTCAACCGGGAGAAGAGCAAACTTTGCCCCGTGCAGAGGATCTCTTTTCTCTATATGGAGATAGACTCGGTCGCCATGTCCGCGTAGCTCACGAACGAGCGCGCGCACTCACTGCTGACTTGTCTTCGACAGTTCGAGGGCAAGAGTGCGGTTCCACTGAAACTTTTTCAGAGGCTCCTGGGGCATATGGCATACGCAGTGAAAGGTAAGTCTATGGGGAAGCATGACCTGGTCATCAGGTTCCTGAGGGGAGCGAGGAGGCTAAATCTGCCTCGCCCTCCCCTCGTGCCCTCTTGGGACCTCTCAGTAGATCTAAGTGGTCTGCAGAGGCCTCCCCTGGAGCCTTTGCAATCGGTAGAGTTTAAGTCCTGTCCTATGTAGACAGCACTCCTGGTTGCATTGGCCTCTGTCAAGAGGGTAAGGGACCTGCACGCATTCTCCGTTGACGAAGCGTGCCTGGAGTTCGGGCCGGGTTACTCTCACGTGTTCTTGAGACCCTGGCCTGGACATGTGCCCAAGGTTCCTACCACTCCCTTCAGGGACCAGGTGGTGAACCTGCAAGCGCTGCCCCTGGATGAGGCAGACCCAGCCTTGGCACTGCTCCGTCCGGTACGTGCGCTCCGCGCCTACGTTGACAGAATGAGGTGTTCAGGACCTCAGACTAGCTCTTTGTCTGTTATGGGAGGAGCCAGAAGGGGAAGGGCTCTCTCAAAGCAACGGCTGTCTCCTGTACGCCATTGCTTTGGCTTACCAACAGCAAGGTCGACCGTGCCCCCTTGGTGTGACGGCCCACTCCACTCGGAGTGGGGCTTCCTCTTGGGCTTTAGCGCATGGCGCCTCGCTAACAGACATCTGCAGAGCTGCAGGCTGGGCGACACCAAACACCTTCGCAAGATTCTATAATCGGTGTCCTCTCGCGTACTCGCTCCTGCCAGTACTGGACCCGCTTAGGTGTCTTCGCTTGCTCGCCATTCCACTCCTCGGACTGGATAAGTGCGATATTCCTCAGTTGAGTCTTCCGTTGAAGTCCTGAGTCTTCCAGCACTCATGATGCGGGCACCACTGCGCTTGCTCTGGTGCCGGCTAGGTGCCTCCGTGTGCACGGTTCCCTCCAGTAACTGTCACACGTGTATTATCCACTGTAAGCCTCTCTGAGCATGTGTCTTCCCTTGGCAAGCCATCTGCCACACCTGGAGCTAAGTTTCTAGCAACCCTTAGGTTGGTGCTCCAGTGATCTCCATATGTAGTCCCCAACTCGGCCATATATGTGTTCTTAAGTCCTCCCTATGGTAGGCATTTGGTTGCATGTCCCTCCCGGGATATGCTTCCCAGTGTACCTTGGTATTCCTGTGTTAAAGTAGGAACTCCTGGTTATAAGGTAAGTTCAGGAGTCCAGACTTTCGCAGGGCACTGGAAGACAGCTATGAAGATGGCGTGATGGCATAGACCCCCATTCTCTGTAACTCCTGAGTAGGGAACGGAGACGTTACGTCTCCTTGCCACTTCTGCTGTACCGCTGGGTAGACGCCGAGTTCAGTCTTGGCTCCTCAGCGAAGACATACTGCGGTTGCGTTCACTTCCTCTAGATAGTCCAAGACTTTGAAAAAGGTCCGTTCCACCAGCGGGGAGTCCCTTCCCGGGCACCGGTCCGCGGACGAGCGCGCCGGCCCCCCGAAATTCCCCCCGGGGTGCCAACGGGAGGGGCCCAAAGTTTCGGGACCTCCGGGGCAGTTCCGCCTCGACCCCCTCGGGGGAGCCGTCCCAGGAACAGCCCGCGAACCCACTAAACGTCCTACCGGCCACCGCTCCCACGGGGGGTCCGGCGACCCGCCCCCGTCCCACCGGCCGGCCCCCGGACACGCCCCCGTCCCGCTAACCCACTATTCGTCCGATTGCCCACCAAGTCGGGCCGACTCTCGGGAACGCCCCCCGCCCGCCCCCGGGACACGCCCCCGTCCCACGAACCCACTATTCGTCCAATAACCCACTAAATCGGGCAAACGTCTCGGGAACGCCCCCCGCCCACCCCCGGGCCACGCACCCCGTCCCACGAACGCACTATTCATCCAATAACCCACTATATTTACCAAACGTCCCGGGACCGCTCCCGGGCCACGCCCCCGTCCCACGGACCCACTATTTGTCCAATAACCCACTATATATTTTTTTTTAATTTTCCCGCAGTCCGTTCGACGCGCAGCAATCGGGTGGGGACTCGGGTCGTATTTTCGATAGACGTTTTAATCAAAGTTCCTGTCGTGACGAAAACCACTCGTCTGCGCTCAGCCGGGGCCCCCGAGTCCGTAGCACCGAGCGCCGTCCCGTGATTCCACTGTCCACGAACCCACTATGTGTCCAATAACCAACTGTCTCAAGAACCCACTATTTGTCCAATAACCCACTATTTTTCAAATGTACTAACCCCAGCCTCCATGCAATAAGCTGCAAATGGACAGAATCCCACCTGCAATCTATCCCACTGTCCAAGAACCCACTATTTGTCCAATAACCAACTGTCCAAGAACCCACTATTTGTCCAATAACCCACTATTTTCAAATGTACTAACCCCAGCCTCCATGCAATAAGCTGCAAATGGACAGAATCCCACCTGCAACCTATCCCATTGTCCAAGAACCCACTATTTGTCCAATAACCCACTATTTTTCAAATGTACTAACCTCAGCCTCCATGCAATAAGCTGCAAATGGACAGAATCCCACTTGCAATCTATCCCACTGTCCAAGAACCCACTATTTGTCCAATAATCAACTGTCCAAGAACCCACTATTTATCTAATAATCAACTGTCCAAGAACCCACTATTTGTCCAATAACCCACTATTTTCAAATGTACTAACCCCAGCCTCCATGCAATAAGCTTCAAATGGACAGAATCCCACCTGCAACCTATCCCACTGTCCAAGAACCCACTATTTGTCCAATAACCAACTGTCCAAGAACCCACTATTTGTCCAATAACCCACTATTTTCAAATGTACCAACCCCAGCCTTCATGCAATAAGCTTCAAATGGACAGAATCCCACCTGCAATCTATCCCACTGTCCAAGAACCCACTATTTGCCTAATAACCAACTGTCCAAGAACCCACTATTTGTCCAATAACCCACTATTTTCAAATGTACTAACCCCAGCCTCCATGTAATAAGCTGCAAATGGACAGAATCCCACCTGCAATCTATCCCACTGTCCAAGAACCCACTATTTGTCTGTAACAGGTGTCTAAAGAATTTGACAATTTATTAATTGAATTGCTGTTGATGTAAATAGGTTTAGCAGAAGATTCTTGAAGGAGGTAGCGGGTTGTGGTGAGAAGCAACAGGCAACACAAGTGATATATGAACTGGTTTGTAATTTTTTGTTGTCAATGAAAATAAACAGAAAAAAAGTTTACAATGACAGTAATTTAAACACAGCTCAAAACATGAAATGACCCCTAGAGTGCACTCTTCCTTTACCCCTAAACAATCACAGATAAATGCAATGACAAAACAAAATAAAAGAAATAAAATGAATAATGGAGTGGTGTCTTTTTTCTTTAAACACTCTTCTCTCAAAATATCACAATGTCAATCAACAAGAACCTCAGTACTAATTCAAATGTAGTTATGGATAACCATACACGATCACGAGGATTCAATGCTTTTCAAAGCACATATCAGTTTTTTTTATCAGTCTCTGTATTCGTCTGTCAATCTTGAGGAAAAAAGAAAAAACTCAATAGTCTCTACTTGTGAATGGTCTCACTACAGCAAGACTGGAGAAGGAAAAGGAAAGGATATGGTCCTCTTCTTTAAGAGTTGTTGCTCTTCCACCGTAGAGGATTCTTTCACCGTAGTAGATTCGGGTGGCTCGCTATCAAATTTCTCACAGGTTATCACAGATCACGATCCACAGTACCAACGACAAAATAGAAATACAAAGAAGACACACAAAAAAAAACCTGGCCTCTAAAACAATCCTATTTGTTCTTCTCACAAAGGCGCGTGAACCAATAATGGCGCCGATGAACTAAAATGGAGGAATCTCCACGCGGTTCACTCTATTAATCGTCTTTTGCTTTCACTCAAGCGCATCTCACAGGTCCGCATGGCCAGCAATGGCGTCGGTGAACACACGTTTTTCTTCTTTTCTTTCAACTATATACTTTTAACTTTTATTCGTGAAGATCGACTCACGTCTTCTCTCCTCTGTGCTCAACTCATTTTTTCGTTACGCGGGCGCGTCCACACACACGCACACGCGCGTGATGTCAGCGCGTTCTCATTGGTCAATCAAAATTCAAATAATAACTGCTTTTCTTAAATCGCTATTTTTCTTAAATCGCTTTTACACATCACTATTTTACCTTTATTAGGGAAATTAGATGTTAATAAATTGCAATTAAATTAAACTTAACCTCCTTTATTTAACCTGTGTTACATTCTCCCTTCCTAAATCCATTCAAGTCCCTTTGCATGTTCTGTTTGGCTGACTGGTGACGACATCGTGTAAACCACTAGTTAGCAAGGGAAGGACACTCCGATCTTCATCTCCACCAAGAGATTTCACAAAAGCCGAATTCAGACCTTGGAACAAAGATTGGACCACATATATTAATGGGTTTCCTGGCTGAAAATAAGCAAGTCTCTCTGGTTCTCCTCTCTGTCTAACAGAATGCCTCGGTAAAGTGTCTACCTCATCTTCTGATTGTTGTTCTGTTTTTTCAGGAACGTCTGAACTTTCAAAAACACTGACGACATCTACTTCTTCAGCAGAACTACCCATTACAGCTTCAATTTGGCCCTTATCAGGTAAGTTACTTTGTTCAAGGGTGTCGGGAACATCAAGAAGTAAGTGTTCACCAGGTGTTCGACAGGCAAGTATTCACTAGGTTTATCGACTGGTAAGGCTTCAATAAGTAAATTATTACCCTGGTTGCCCTGCAAAGTTTCACCGGTAGGGGAAATTTGTTCAGCTGCGTTGTCAGCAATATCAGCGTTCATTGCCTCTCTTTCTGTACTGATATCATGAACCGTGGAGAAACGTACTGTCTCTATCGTCGGAGCATGACTGTACTCGCAATACGAATTTCCTTCTTCGGAATCAGAAAGGAAAGCGTCATCAATTAACGGAACCTTAGGATTCTGTCGCGTTCGAGGTTTGGAGATGGGTTTGTTTAGAGTAGGTGGTTCATCTTCGGAAGACGGTAAAAACCCACACGGGAGCAACAGATCTCTTTGAAGAGTACGCAGAGGACCGTCCTTTCTCTCTGGACGAACAGTATAAACTGGCAATTCAGCTGCCTGACTCACCACAACATACACCTCAGACTCCCACTTGTCAGCTAACTTATGCTTCCCGCGTAGCCTAATGTTCCTCACTAACACTCGGTCACCAATCTCCAAAGAACAATGAGTTATGGATTTGTCAAACCTAGCTTTGTTTCTTTCAGCACTTTTTGACATACCACGTGACGCAAGCGAATAGCTCTCTTTCAGATTGGTTTTCAGATGCTTGACATACTCGGAATGAGACTGTCGCGGACCATCTGGATACGGCAACCCAAAAGCAAGGTCGACTGGTAACCTGGGTTGACGTCCAAACATCAATTCGTAAGGGGTGAAACCAGTGACCTCATGTTTCGTGCAATTGGACGCATGAGCTAAAGGCTTTACAAAGTCTTTCCAACGACCCTTATCTTTTTCTTCTAAGGTACCTAACATACCGAGTAAGGTCCTATTGAAGCGTTCGACCGGATTTCCCCTGGGATGATAAAGGGTTGTTCGGGTTTTCTTAATACCTGCCATTTCACAGAGCTCTTTTATGGTGCGCGATTCAAAATCTCGGCCCTGGTCGCTATGAAGACGCTCGGGGAACCCGTAGTGTACAACAAAATTGTCCCAAAGACATTTCGCCACTGTTCTTGCCTTTTGGTTGGGTGTGGGGACTGCCACAGCATATTTAGTAAAGAAATCAGTGATTACCAAAATGTCCCTTGTGTTACTCTTGTCTGGCTCTAATGAGAGAAAATCCATACAGGCCAACTCTAAAGGTCTTGTGGCTTGGATGTTTACCAGCGGTGCAGCTTTTTGAGGCATTGATTTCCTCCTCACACAACGACCGCATGTCCGAATCTTTTGCTCTACTCCCGCAGCCATTTTCGGCCAATAGAAACGAGACCTTACTAAATCTAGAGTCCTCTCTACCCCCATATGACCCATACTGTCATGCAAACTGCTCAATACAGGGGACCTCAGTTTCTCAGGTAACACGAGTTGGTAAGTGACTAATTCCTCTACCTGCCGCTTCCGATAAAGCACCCCATCTTTTAACACAAGACGGTTCCACTCTCTTAGAAAGAAAGGAAAGTCTGGGAGTTGCTTCCTGACTGTCGGTGGAGGCTTTTCTCCTGACTCTAAGAACGACACTACTTCCCGAATGACTGGATCTGCTCTTTGCTCGTCACAGAGGTTCCCTGACAGGTAAGACACAACAGGTAATCCCTCTAAATCACCTTCTTGTTCGTAACTATCAGGTACAGCATCAGGGTGAGAGATGCAAGAGATTCAACAAAAGCAGCACCTGACCCAATGTCCGTTGGCTGTCTGACCAGATGCTTCTCACATATTGCCTTGGGGCGTCACTTGGGGCGTCACACGAATCTGCAGCTTCCGCGAGATGATTCTGCATAAACTGCTTAATTCGTTCATACTCTTTTTGGGATTGAGGATTTTCAGGCAATTGTTCCTGCGGTCGCCTCGATAGACCATCAGCATTGGCATTTAACTTGCCTGCTCTGTATTGTAGCTTAAACGAAAAAGTGGAAAGAGCAGCAAGCCACCGGTAGCTAGTCGCATCTAGTCTCGCCGTGGTTAGAACATACGTTAGAGGGTTACTGTCTGTAATGACGGTGAATTGGCTACCATACAAATAATCTCTAAACTTTTCAGTTACTGCCCATTTAAGGGCAAGAAACTCAAGC